AATTAGCCCCAATTGTACTCACTATATTTCTTACACCTGTTTCTTTAAGTGGTACTATTAAAGATGCAGCATTTGCTAAACTATCGTTGCTTATTTACATGTCGGATGGCACACAGGAGCTATATTCTTGCCCTTTCTGTGCTGCTCTAAACCAAGAAAGTTTATCTTATCTTTGGAAGAGAAGTGCTGAATAAGCAAAAGCCATCTCATTGCTGTTGTCACTTTGGAGACACACTGGATACATCTAGGGAAAATTATAAGTAAAAAGCAGTACATAACAGCCCAGCATCTGAAAGATGTTGTATACAACAGATACAGCTAACTATAAAGACATTGAGATTCAAGACCTGAGTCTTTGCAAAGTTGTTTTGATCTAATGATTTTCTCCAGAAGGACAAACTGCTTGCATCACATAGTTATCTTCCTTCGCCTAAGCTGCTGAAGCCACGAAAATATTTGTCTCAATCTTCCTGATAAAGAATATTCATTCCTTAGAGAATTTTCTTTTCTTATAGGATTTGTATCAGTATGTCGCAAGACACTTTTCAAAAAAACATCTCAACCTTTTCATTCAGTGATTCAATCTCCAGTTAGATGTCTTAATAGTTGGGACTTTATCTTAAGGTTTGTATGTAAGGAAGTTCATTTCAGTGTTATTTCTAATGAAGGTTGGAAGTGTCTTATATGATCAATAGGAGGAATTAAACTGTGGTACAGTTGCTGTGGGAATTTTGGGTATCCATTACAAAATTTAATTTTCAAGAATTATTTAATGATAATGGAAATGTTCTTACTCTAATGTTAAGTAATGAAAGCAGTACACTACTCAGAATGCAAAATGATACGCGGTCTATGGAAGGATCTTTGGCAGTTTTCACCCTCAAGTCCAGACAAATTAATCTTCTGACTCAGCAATGCTATGTGCAAGAACCTGCCCCAAAGACACTCTGGCAAGTACCCAAAGAAATATAAGCACACTGCTACTCACTACAGCTTTATTCTTAATAACAGAAGAGCAGGAATAACCCAGATGCCCATCATTGGGTGACTGACGGGATAAATTATCATATGCACAACATGGAACACTACTATGTAGCTATCACAAGGAGCCGGAAGAACGTGTTTCCTTATATGGAAAAAAATCTCCTGGACATTTTGACACTTTGTTAAGAGAAAAAAATTAAGATACAGAATGATTTATAGAATGTGCCACCTTCTGTAGAAGAAGAGCAAGTTCGGTTGTTTTATAGTATTTTTTTCCTTTTTTTTTTTTGCCAATGCTGAGGCTTGAACTCAGGGCTTGAGTGCTGTCCTGGAGCCTTTTGGCGGTCAAGGCTAGCACTCTACCACTTGAGGGTGCCACCTCCAGCTTTTTCAAAGTAGTTTATTGTAGATAAGTGTCTCACAGACTTTTCTGTCCAGGCTGGCTTCGAACCGAGATCCTCAGATCTCAGCCTCCTGAGTAGCTAGGATTACAGACGCTAGTCACCAGTATCTAGCTTTTTAAATTAAAAAAAAAAACTTAAAAGTTTAGCTGTGAAACATGGCAGCTTGTTTCTAAATCATGTACTTCTATTTATTCAATGATTACCAGTCGGGACTGATTTAAACACTCAGGGTGTCTAGCAGTCTGAAGACATAGTTTGGTTGTCATAATCTAGGAACTGGGGTTTGGTGATGCTACTGGCATCCCGTTAGGTAGAAGTCAAACATCCTATAATTCACAGGACAGTGCTGTGACAGAATGATATCAATTGTCAGTGGGGCTGAAGTTGAGGAATCTTGCATTAACTCTTCTATCATAGGCCAGGTTGAGGCCATTTTCTAATGAGAGCATTTAAAATTAATAATAAGGAACTCAATTTTACATGCAAGTATTAGATATATGTCCAAAGTGAATATTAATTATATTAATGCTGTTAGGAATAAAGATTTTTTTAATTAGAGAAAGATATACTTACAAAGTCAAATAATTTACATGAAACCTTATCATTTTAAATGGAAAATACTAGCATGAGTTCATTATTGGCCTCTTTATTTATTAATTAATTTTGTGCAGCATTGGGAATTAGACTCAGGACTTTGAGTACACTAAGCAGGTATTCTATCATTGAGCTATAAAGTCCATTTCTGTCTCTTTTTGAAAGCAGTTCTTAAATCCAATGACAAGGCCAAGAACCAATGCTGGCCAGGTAGCAAAGATCACCCCTAATTCTATGAAATCATGATCTGAAATATCATTTCCTAGAGAAAAAAGGGATTCTAGGAATGAATAACTGATTGCGGATCAGGAGCAGAATATATAAATTAAACCTGGAGCATCTAGTGTAAATAGCAAGCAAGTACATCTGACAGCAAGGACAACTAAGAAACAGAACACCAACAGTATTATTCTATTACTAGATTAGAGGGGCAGAATGAATCTGGGTAGGCAATTATTTCTACTACAGCAATATTGTGAAAATGCACAGATCTGCACTAATATGGTAGACAAGTATTCAGACAAGGATGTCTGAATAGCAGCTGTCTGTTGAACCTTATACTGGTGTCAGCCTTTTTATTTATCCTTAAAATATCTCTATTATTCCTATGGCCAACATTACGTGTATCAAATTATTTCATGTAATCTGGGCACTGGTGGCTCATGCCTGTAATCCTAGCTACTCAGGAGGCTGAGATATGAGGATTGCAGTTCAGAGCCAGCCTGGGTAGGAAAGTGTGTGAGACTCTCATCTCCAATAAACTCAGAAAAACCTGGAAGTAGCGCTGTGGCTCAAGTGGTAGAGCACTAGCTTTGAGCACAAAGAAGCTCAGGGACAGCACCCAAGCCCAGAGTTTAAACCCCATGCATTGGTGGGAGGGGGTAAATCTCATGTAACCCTCATCCTTGCACCTTGCCTCAACCTCCTTGAATATACAGTGTTCAGGAGGACACATATGCTACCATGGCAGTACTCTACCGTTCCTGAAGTTATCAGTCTTTGGAGAATCTATCCATTGCTTAGGTTGACATACAGAAGTAATCAGTGGCTGCAGAGTGGAAGACAATATTTGCAAGTCATGTATCTACTAGAGGGACTTGTATCTAGGGTGTGTTCTTAAATATTTAACTTGGAAATAAAAAGAAATTTCTATATGTACAAAAGAATTTGAAATGACAAAGACTTTTCTTACATGTACAAAAATTTGAAAAGCCAACACACAAAACATTTCTCCAAAGACAATATGAAGTTGGCCAATAAGTACATGAAAAGATGCTTAGTGTATCATTAGTCATTACAGAAATAATGCAAATCAAAACCACAAGATACCATTTCTCATCTACTTGGATGACTGTTCTGTAATCAAAAACACAGATAATAACAAGTGTTTGGAAGGACATGGAGAACCCGAATCCTCATTTGTTGCTAGTGGGAATGTAAAATGGTACAGCCACTTGGAAAACAGTTGGGAAGCCCTTCAAATGATTCAACAGTTACCAAATGACTTTAATTCTACTCACAGATATAAGTTTAGGCAAATCTTTAAGCTGGGCATGGTGATTCATACCTCTAATCCTAATTACTAGAGAGGTGATATGGGGAAGATTGAAGTTTGAGGCCAACTCAAGCAAAAATTTATCAAGACCCTATCTCAACCAGTAAGTTGGGCTTTCAGAGCATACTTGAATACACATTGTTAAAATGGAAACATTTAACATAATCTTCAAAATTAAAAATGTTGATTAACTCAACATACTAGAAAAAGCTTTTCTAAATATGCCATCTTAAATCATTTACATATTTACACAGCAGATTTGAAATGGATGTCCTGATATCTTAGTGATGTCTTGTTTGGGACTGCAGAGAGCATATACTAAAAAATAATTTTCTCTTTTCCTCTCTGAGGTGGAAGAATATGCGGGGGGGAGGTGGAAATGGAAGGTATGAGAGAGAGTCTCAAGTTCCTGCTCTGTAGTAAGATTGCTGTTGACGTTGGGTAGATTGACCTCTCTTGACCTTGATCCCTCTCTGGAAATAGGAGGAGCACTGTTCCCATTATCTGCCTCCTGCCTCACCTTTGGCTCTAAAAAATACTATATGAGAAAATATTCTCAGAACTACAAAAGGATTGTAATTATTTTAAAATATATTTTCCAAATAGATAGCAGAGTTTTCCCTAGCCAGCATCTCTTATTTCCCAATTCACTTTTAGAATTCTTCTTAAACCACTCTGGAATACAGTTTGAATGAAACACTCAGAGAGTAGATTATATTTTTTAATTAGAGATTATTTAGATTTCTATTTACTGTACAGCATTAAAAAAGACTTTCTTCCTAACTTTAAAAAAAGTTTAATTGTAGAACTAATATAAATCTAAACATCTCATTTCTGGAGTATTGTTTGGGACTTGGAGACTGGAAACATTTTATAGTTCTATGTGAAAGTCCCACTTACTTTAAAGATAATAGGGCCACAGGTTTCATGACTCCTTACCCCATGGATACCAAAGTTTGAGACTGCTTAAGTCCCTTGTGTAAAACAGCATAGCACTTACATATAACCTGCACATTGCCTCCTCCATCTCTAGAGTAAGTGCTAGGTGAATATTGTTCTACTTTATCTTCTCTTCTTGGTGTTGGAAAGAAAAAGGTCTATACATGCTCAGTACCAACACAAGGCTTTATACTCCCCTTTTCTATCTGCACTTGGCTGAGTCTGTGCATGCAGAGCCAGTGGGTACAGAGACTAACCATAGGTAATTCAGCTTTAAACTCAAAGTGCTCATTTTAAATACTGGCAATATTTAAAATAAAGCAGACCTGACCTGTGTTCTATTACGGTAGAATCTTTCATGGTACTGATAGCAAGAATTGAGGATATAAACAGTAAGCATTCAAATTAACCTTCCAGGACTGGAACCAGACAACTATGCTTTGCATAAAGCACTTCCTATAAAATCTTTATCGGTACTTAGGCTCATGAAAATGTATTCAACATGTACTCTTTTGATCTCTTACCATGGCAAGTTAGAAGCGGCTAAGACAAACACAAGATCTTCCGAGCGTGCCAGACCATCCATCTGCACCAGTAGCTCTGTCTTCATTCGAAGGCTTCCTTCATGTTCTCCCCTAGAGAGAAACAAGAAGACAAGAGTGGAACTTGCAGCAATGACTCAATGAGTCTAGAACAGGCTCTGTTTTGGTGGTAAAGAGGGCCATTCTTACTAGAGCTAGAGAAAATATACAACTTGGCATTGTAACAGAAAGGAAGTAAGCAAATAAAATAATGATGCTCAAAAGCAAACCAAAGATTTTCAGTGAGTGGGAAAATAACTATTATCTACTGGTGATCCAGTAGATAAAAACGTAACCCAGTGGGCTGGGAAGGTGGCTCAGTGGTAGAGCGCTTGCCTTGCATGCAGGAGGCCCTGGGTTCGATTCCTCAGCACCACATAAGCAAAAAGAAAAAAGCCAGTAGTGGTGCTGTGGCTCAAGTGGTAGAGCGCTAGCCTTGAGCTGAAGAGCTGAGGGACAGCGCCCCGGCCTAGAGTTCAGGCCCCATGACCAGACCCCCAAAAAAACCCAAAATAAAACGTAACCCAGCTAACCATTTGCAGCATTATTTAGCCAGGATTAGGATTAGAGGCTCAAGCTTACAATAGATAATAGATCATTATAATAGAGTATAGGCTCACAACTATAATCCTAGCTACTCAGGAGGCTGAGATCTGAGTTTGAAGCTAGCCCAGGCAGGAAAGTCTACGAGACTCTTATCTCCAATACTTAGAAAAGGCCAAAGTGGAGCTGTGGCTCAAGTGATAGAGTGCTAGCTTTGAGCACTTAGCGATTCAGAGACAGTTCCCAGGCCCTGAGTTCAAGCCCCAGGACTGGCCAAAAAAAAGGCATTAATTCAGAATAATCCCTTTCATTGGTACAGCATGCATGATAATTAATTTTTAAAAGAGATATATGACTATATATATATATATATATATATATATATATATATATATATGCTTTACTCTCTTCTAATGAGATTACAAGACAATGACATGGACTATGCTTTCTTTGCATAATAGACTAGAGGCAATTTTCTGTGCAAATTTTCCTCCAAGCCTTACCTAAGACACTACTATCGACAAGGAGCAAACTATTTGGACCTGGAGAGCCCAAATGGTTTAGATAGAAGCCACATGGACTCTCCTTCTCCTTCACTTGAATAGATTTATTTAAATAAAAATGTGTTTCTTGGACAAGACACTCAACATCTCATTCATTCACGTACGTGGTAGTAACCCAAATTAGGTTCAGATTGAGTATTCTTAATCTCAAATGCTTGGGGCCTGAAGATTTTCTTATTTCAGAATTGTTGACTTGGACTATTTGCTAATATATAGTTGGGGATGAGACTCAATTCTAAACATGAAATTAATTTATATTCACATACATTTTATATACATAAAAGTGATTTATATAATTTTTTAAATAATTCATCTATGCAATAACTTTTCATGGTGTGTAATATTCCATTTGTGGTGTCTCATCAGTACTCAAACATTTCAGAGTTTGGGCAATTTTATATATTTGATTTTCAAATTAGGCATGCTCATGTATAAGGCTTTGTAGAACCTAGCTATCATTTCCTGAGAGGGGACTCTCTCACAGTACAGTTAACTGTCAATTCAGCATTTTATTATAACTACAATTCTTTAAACCCAGAAGATCCAAGAAGATTTTTACCACACTTTCTCTTATTTCTTACCCTAGAGTCTTCAAACTCCAGATAAGAAAACTGAGAATGGAGGTATAATGTGTAATATACTCAAGGATGGTAGATGGAAAGCTCCCCTAAAAGCCCAATAAAGGCTGTGGGAAGCCTCATTAGAGGCTAGCAAAGGGGAAGGCCAGTGCCCAGGTACTAGGTTCAGGCAGGACAACACGGTCTGTCATTACAGGGGAAATGGAGGTCAGATATCATATCCATCTGGCTGCCCCCGTCAGGGTTGGTACAGAGGTGGAGGGCTGCCACATCAAGGCCATTAGAATCAACTACAGAAATCCTATCCTATCTGGCTGAATCCTCAGGATTGTTTATCCCTGCTGGGAAAATGGTTTCCAATGAGTATGATTTCATAAATTATATTCTAGTTTTATTTCTTTTTTTTTTGTTTTGGGTCCGGTCGTGGGGCCTGAACTCTGGGCCTGGGCGCTGTCCCTCAGCTCTTCAGCTCAAGGCTAGTGCTCTACCACTTGAGCCACGGCGCCACTTCCGGCTTTTTTCTTTTTTCTTATGTGGTGCTGAGGAATCGAACCCAGGGCCTCATGCATGCAAGGCAAGCGCTCTACCACTGAGCCACCTTCCCAGCCCTCTAGTTGTATTTCTAACAAGCAAATTATTTGCTTTATTTTATCACTATTAATTCTGTCTTGCTATAGACCATTAAAGGTCTTAAATAAATGTAGCTGTATTGAGATTTCTCCCAGATTTTTTTTTTAAGCTGAAGGTACCAACTTTAATTTTTTCAAGTCTCAAAGGAAAAAATACTTATGATCAAAAGAGAAATTGGTCTTAAAATGAAGCAGACAAAAAGAAAAAACTTACCTAGCATTTTGAAAGCATAAACAAGCCTCTAACAGTCTGAGAAAAATCCCTTCCCCCTGGGGACATTAGCCGACACTTAATCTTTAGAAATAACGTATGTGACTTATTTAAGATCCCACATGCTGGGCCATAACCTGATGCCAGAGAAGTGGGGGCTTTCCCGGCCTCACACACTGTCAAGGACCTCGTGTAGGGAGTGGAACGGAGACTTGGCTCATCCCCCTGGCGTGGTGGTAAGCCCCAGGCCCCGCTGGCGGCCCTCTGGCTCCAGAGGAGGCTGTCAGGGGCGGCTATTTTGAGCCAGCAGGGCTGAGATCCTGGAGCTGGGTGATCTTCAGGCCTGAAACCCATTCTGTAAGGATGGGGGAAGGGAGAATAACATTTCCTCCGGTTCTAAAAACTACTTAAATCAGCTATTCAGTTAACAGGATCTAATTTAAAGACCTTTCCATGTGTCTACAGAAAATTTGTGGGCTTATTAATAGGCTCATTCTGCTGGTAAATGTCGATGGGCTTCCGACCATCAAACACACTTACAAAAGGGGAGAAATGATGACCAACACACACACACACACACACACACACACGAGTCTGTTACCCAGGAGCCATGCCTCTCTGACTCATCACTGACTCCAACTCATCCAGGAAAATTGTGGAGGGGGCGTGATAGTGGGCAAGTTCAAATAGCACCTACGTGGAGAAAAGCAAAGACATGTTTAAATTCACATATTTAATCTCGTCACCATATACTTAAAGCCCTCAGATACTCACGGAGATTAAAAGCTTAGAATGATTGTAATAATAAGCATTCATTCTACACTCTGTTATTTCACAGTAACTTTATAATCATTACCATTATTTCTCCCTTCTACCACCCCAGGGGGTTGGATGGTCCAATTATTTCCATTTATCACTTGATAAAATTAGAGCCAGAGAGAGTAGGTGGTTAATTCAAGGTTACTAATCATAAATGGGAGAGCAGAAGATAAAACCCGGCTCCCAGGCTGCCAGTTGGCTCGTTAACCCTACAACCATCCTGTCAATGGCATCTTCTGTTCAGCCATAGAAAGCATTAGAATTCGCAAAATCATGTGATGATGTCTTTCCTTATTCTTTGGAGACAGTGAGAGGCTTATTCTCTCATTCAAGGAAGGCTTAGTACTATACTTTTCTACTTATGGATACACCAAGGCTGAAAATGTTGTCCCTTTCTGCTTTGCAAATTATCCCATGGGGTCCTCATTTCAACCTTGCTATTGGTAAGGTTCTTGAAGACAATTCTTGATTGAATGAAGATGTTTTACTCCAGGAAAAAAAAAAATGTGTAGACTGAACAAGAACAAGAAAGCAACCAGAAAAAAACTCAAAAGACAAAAAGAAAACAACCAGCAAAAGAACAGACATACAAAAACAAAATAAGGAGCTCTAAAAAGAGATGGGGTGGTAAGGAGAAGAATAGAAAAATCTAAACTTAAAAAAAACAAACATCTAAAATGGCTCTCCTGAACACCGTGTACAATTCTTCACTGGTTGATCAGAGAAAGCAGTAGAGGTATAGAAATGAATAGAAATTCTTTAATAGCCATGGGGGGATTTATTCTGCATGCTACTTAGCACTAGCAAAGCATCACAGAACAAATAAAAGAGCCAGGGGCTAGTTAACAGCTAGAGCATGATTTCTCAGGAATAGCAGCTGAGTTTCCCCCTCAGGTTGAATCACTGAGTGGGAAATTCCTCAACTTCCCTGTTCACTGCTCAGAGTTTGGTACATCCAAGGTCATGTGTCAGCATTTCCCTTTCACAGAGTTCTGTTCATTGGAGAGAGAGTCTAATGTACTGAGAAAACAAAGACAAGGCTGGGACACTCACCACAAATGTCTTTTAGGTGTAATGGAGACCACGTAACTATGAACAAGTTAACTTTCCTTCCTTGTTACAAAATGAAAGCCCAAATATCCCTGAAATTAAGGGTGATTACAACAGCAGCCATCTACCTACTGAAGAATATCAGAACAACATACATTTTTAAGGTGCAGGAGACCAATTGGAAGAACCACACCAAGGGCCTAGGTCTCCACATTGTCCACATTGCTCTTTCCACTCCCATAGAATAAATAGAAATCTGGGTAAGTGCTTCTGGAATTAGTCTAAAATATTCAGAGGTACTTGAAGGAAGTTAAATGATAGGGTTGGAGGTAGGGGAGTTGAAAGATGTGAGCATCAACCAGTGTGTGTGCATTTACTAAAAAGATCACTAAGCTATTCAATACTGCAACTCCTAAAAGGCAAGAACATTATGGGGGCTGGGAGTAGGGAGGAGTAACCCAAAGGTTCCCTATAAATATCTCCTTAATTGGAATACAAAAAGAAAGAAATGATAGGCAAAAGTAATCTGATTTAGGGGAAGGGACTAAAGGGCTTTCTTTCTCTGAAAGCCTCACATGCTTGGCAGCATGACCAAGATTTTCCAGTAGGGATATACCAAGGTCCAGATAATATTTTCCCAAAGCTAAGAAGATGGATCCCTCATGGTCAAAAAATATGACTTGTTTCTTTCTTTGGATACTTTGTAATGTCTTGAGCTCATAGTTCTAAATACCACTATTCATAGCAGGAGATGAACCTAAACTAATTCTGGGGGTGTCTTTTAAAGATTTTGTATTACCCAATACAAAGAAATGAAATGCACGCCCCCCCCAAAAATGACTGAGACTGATAAGGATTATAGTTGGCTGAATTTTAGTTAATTGAAATTGGGATAGCCAGAATCCCAGGAAATTACAAATATAGGAGTAACTAAATTCTTTTTTTGGGGGGGGGGTCCAGTCATGGGGCCTGAACTCTGGGCCTGGGCGCTGTCCTTCAGCTCTTCAGCTAAGGCTAGCGCTGTACCGCTTGAGCCACAGCACCACTGCCGGCTTTTTTCTTTTTGCTTATGTGGTTCTGAGGAATTGAACCCAGGGCCTCATGCATGCAAGGCAAGCGCTCTACCACTGAGCCACCTTCCCAGCCCCCATGGAGTAACTAAATCCTAACCTCATCTTCGGACCTAACACTGAGTTATGCTCAACATACCAAAGAAGTAGGAGATGTCAATGGATAGTTTTCATATTACAATCTTGAAGAAATGATAAGAATTTATAAAAATTATAAACTTGAAACAATTTTAAATTATATATATATGTATATAAAGCTGGTGTGGTAACTGATGTCATTTCGGTGTTAGAACATTTACTTAGTATATGCAAGGCTCTGAGTTTGATCCTCAACACTGCAAATTTTATATGTGTGTCTCTGTATCAAAGTAATATATAATAATAATTGATTTAATTTATTAACCCTCTAAAAATATTCCATTTGACTTCCTTAGAGGCCAAAAATGGTTTGGAAATGCATTTTCCAAGGAAACAAAATTGCAGAATAATAGGATAATTTCTTTTTTTTTTAATGTAGCATTTTATATTCACTCAGTACTGATTCCTTATCAATCATTTTTACAGAAAGCAATAGTTCATCAGGATTTCTTGGAAGGACTGATTTATGTTAAATCATACATCATACGCAAGTATTTTCTTAAAATGACTAAAAGATAAAGTAAAAATTTTAATATAAAATATATTGTTGACTAGAAATAAGATATTTTAAAGATAGGAACAGCTTTCAAGAAAGGAACAAATCCTTTAAGATATGAATGACTATGAAGGGAAAATTTCAGAGTACCAAAAGAATAATTAAATTTCAAGTCTCTTTATCCCTCCGTGGCCAGTATGCCAGGACCTGGAATATAGTAGCAGCTTCTCAATAAATGTTACCTGGATATGCTACACATGCTTAATGCTTGACTAGAGAAAACAGACAGCTTTTTCCAGCTTTCATTCCTGAGTTGTATGAATCAAAAGAAGGGTTGATGGAGCCGGGCACTGGTAGCTCACACCTGTAATCCTAGCTACTCAGGAGGCTGAGATCTGAGGATTGAGGTTCAAAGCTGGCGCTGTGGAGCAAGAAGTAGAGCGCTTGCCTTGAGCTGAAGAGCTGAGGGACAGTGCCCAGGCCCAGAGTTCAAGCCCCATGACCGACCAAAAAAAAGTTGATGGAGAAGTTCCAAAAAAGATCATGCTTTTCTAATGAGGACATGACTAATACCAATATATAATAGCCAACAAATCACCCAGGCTTTTGATAATCAAGATTCTGGATAAAATCTGACATATATAGCCCTATTTCACCTTGAAACAAAGTCCAATGTCATTTTGTACCATTATATTATGCCAAAACATTGCTTTAAATTACTTAAACTTTTTTTGGGGGGGTCCAGTAGTGGGGCCTGAACTCTGGGCCTGGGCGCTGTCCCTCAGCTCTTCAGCTCAAGGCTAGCACTCTACCACTTGAGCCACAGCGCCACTTCCGGCTTTTTTCTTTTTTGCTTATGTGGTGCTAAGGAATCGAACCCAGGGCCTCAGGCATGCAAGGCAAGCACTCTACCACTGAGCCAACTTCCCAGCCCCACTTAAACATTATTTTAAACAACCAAACTTAAGGGCTGGGTGTGAGGTTCATGCCTGTAATCGTAGCCTCTGCCTCCTCAGATTTGAAGGACAGTTGATCAGGCTGGCCCCTGAGCAAATGCACCATACCTTATTTGAAAAAACAGCTAAAACAAAAAAGGCCTGGGGAAGTGGATCAAGTAGTCAAATGCCTGCCTAGCAAGCTCAAGATTCTGAGTTCAAACTCAGATACCACCAACTAAAAAACCAAAATTAAGAATCCTTACCCGAACAAGTTTTTCTGAATCTCCTCTCCATTTGCTGACAATGGTAGATGCAGAAATGTTAAAGAAGGTTGTTTTGCATTCAGTGGCCACAGCTTTAGCCAATAAAGTCTTCCCTGTACCTAAGCGACAGAGGATCAATATAAACAAGAGCTTAAATTCCACTCCCTTACTTACAGATAGAAGTCAGGGTCACATGGGAATGAGAAAGTGGTCACTCAGCTCTCATTTCCCTCAGTCCTGAAGTAAGGACCGAAGTGGATAACTCACATTCTGTACACACACAAGACACAAATCAAAAGATACATTTACCTGGAGGTCCGTAAAGCAATAGTCCTTTCCAGGGAGAAAGAATTCCTGTGAATAGCTGGGGATACTTTGGAACAAAGAACAATGTGAGGTTGAGGATATACCCTTGGCACGGGCAACCAGAGCAAAATACAGCCTAGGGTTGTGATTCTTCTCTTCCTTTTTAAGGTCTGCATTTTGGATATAACTTATTTGTTCCCATTTTATTTTCACACCTGATAAGGAATGTCTGACTTGTTAATATCTGACTTAAATTTTCTTAAAAGAGGAACATTTTTAAGGAAAAGCATATGTAGCTATTTTTCCTCTCAATAACAGTAGCTTACATGTATGGTGTCATTTTCCCTAGAGTTCTATCTATATGTACAGTATTTGGCAATCTTTTGAAGGTTGTAAAACATAAATGAATGTTGTGATAAATTCCAGAACCAACAAATAAAGCCATGTGCCTGCAAGAGCAACATTAAGCTTCTTTTAGAAGTAAAAGACATTTAGTGGCAAGTGCGTCAGAAGAAAACGACTCCAGAAAAATATTTTAGTCTCTCCAAAAGTTCAAGGTCAAAATACCTAGAAGAAGGGCAGGATTGATAGAGAATGAGAAGGAAAAATAATAGTAAAGTTACAACTAGCTCCTAGTGATTTGTTAATGTTAATATCAAATTTCACACATATCTAGAGAGTTTCAACGAAATATTCTAAACTTTGGGAAAGCTTTGTCTTATGATTCTATTTAGCAAATTTCTATTAGTTCTGAACACCAATACATTTCTTACCCCATATCTTAACAGAAGAAAAAAGAGCAGGAGAATGACGAATCAAATTTATTGATTTTTTTTGTCTTCTTAGAATAAAAGCATTTAACAATTCGGTTTCATGAATTTGGTGCTATGTGTAAGTCAATACAATGAATATTCACTCCTGACTGAATTATAGAAAATGGCTACCAATCATTTGTAGCTCCTTCCATCAAGAGGAAGAATCTGTTTCTCCACCACTTGGATCTGGGACTGGTCTTGTGATGCCAGCCAATGAGACATTGGCAATTTTTTTTAAAAGACTTGAAAATATAAGACTAGCAAATAGAAGAAACAGAAGAATCATGAAAAAATGTTCACGAATGAGGACTTGCCCTTTTGTGACTTCTCCTAGGAAGCCACTGTGAAAGAACCAGACTTGCTTCCTAGGATAGAAGAGGCCATGGAGAGAGGACTCAGATGTTCCATTGATCCCAACGTTTCCTGCTCTCCAACCTTTCCACCACTCCTGTTAATGTCTCAGATAGGTGATTCAGTCAGACTGACAACACCAAATACCTCACCTGGAAAAGATGTGAGCCAGCCCAGCTGGAGCCAGTCCAGGCTGCCTATCCACAGAAATACAAATAGATAAATGATTGTTGTTTTTAGGCCCTACGTTGTGGTGTGGTTGGTGATATAGCAAAACTACACGATAAGCTGACTTCCTTGTTACTCTATTTGGAGAGTCCTGTTTTTCTACTTGTCTACTTGCTTCATGAGCCATGCAGAATCCCATGTCAACAACAAATAATGATCACAGAATGTTTGCCCTGCTGGCCACAGTTCTGAATGGGGCTGTCTAGTTTTCACAACCAGATGAGGCAAAGCCCTAGAAAATACTGGGATACCAGGAAGGTGGGTGTGTGGGGAAGATCCACAGATACAAACTATGTGTCCTTTTCCTATGATAAATAGTTCTCCAATAACAAGTATACTTTTAGAGAAGTTACTCCAAACCCATGTGAGGTAGCTGACCAATTATATATACAGCAGAGACTTAGATGTTAAGTAATTCCTTTAAGTAGACACCTGAGTTGAATCCATATGAAACATAATTTAAAATAGTCTGGAATAAACTGGGCTTGATGTTCCAGAATTAGCAAAATGTGACACATGCAAAAAATAAAAGCTAACTTGAGAACCAAACACCATCCTGCATTTCCCTTCCTGATAAGCATGTGACATACAGCTTGTCCTATGACAGATAATGAACAGAAATAACCCTGAAGGGGCTTCCCATGCTTACCCTTATAGGATATACAACAGCTTCTTTGACTAGCCGCTTGGCTGCATCCAGTCCAATAATGTCATCCCACTTTATGTTTGGATTATGGAGATAAATGTCCTGCAATATACATTTGAGCATCTTGTTAAAAGTAATGTTTTCCTCCACAGCTGTAATAAACATGTGAGCAGCAGAATACTTGACTCTCACTGGGATATAAGGTTCTAGGAGAAATACTTTTCGTGTGTGTGTGTGTGTGTGTGTGTGTGTACATTGTAATTTTGAGTCCATTCACCAAAAGGATTTGTCATGGAAACATTCACTGGTTTCTCCTGTAGAGATACAAATGACATAACAGTACTTTTAGGATGGGGGAAAAAAATCTCTTAACAATGGATACCTGTCCTCAGTCAATAGCAAACCATGCTGATGCATTACTGTAACCAAAGGGGCCACAGAATATATGTTATATTTGTTTTTACTACAACACACAGGTGTTTTGGTTTTAGTTGGTTTTGTGTTTGTTTTATCAGCACCTGGCTTCCCTCTTGTTCTTTGATTTGGCAAATACTTTTGTAATTTGTTGCATAAAAGAGATAAAGCTCCTCTGAGTTTCTTTTGTTCCCTAGAGCTCAGTCTCTACTTCCTGCAGGAGTAATTGCTTCTGCAACATTCAAGGAAGCAGACCATCCAGTGAAAGTGCGGCTTCCCCTCTCATTGGAGAGAGCCCTGTAGCAACCATTTAGAGCAATCAATTAGGGTAGCTTTTACTGATAACTAATTTACAGTTTCCAAACTTCAATTTCACTAGATGCCTCAACAAAGTCACTTGGGGGCCTTTTTCTCTGTAGGAGCTATTTTGGGAAAACATTGTCTAGAGCATTACATTAAAAACAAAAACAAAAAATTCTTTTCCAAAGTCTTCCTGAGTGACTACACAACAAACCTGGAATTTTTTTTTTTGGTTATTTACTTTTTTTTCTTTTTACAATATGGGGATTTTGAACTCAAGCATTCTTCTAACTTGTAGTTATTTTTCAGATAGAGTCTCAAGTTTTTGACTGAGGGTGTGACCTTAATCCTTCTGCCTATTTCTCCGGTATGTCTGGGATGATAGGCATGCACCACCACACCTGGCTTACTGAAGTTTAGAAAGTGTAAGTTAATTGATGGGCTTTCACTAGCTATTTGCTTGGTCTGCCTATGAACTACAATCCTTTGAGCAGCTGGGATTGAAGATGAGAGCTACCACTTCAGTTTAGTTTTAACAGGTAATACATATATGTGTTTCAAAAATGCAAAAGTACATTTGAAACATATTAATGAGCTTTCATGGTATTGTCTCCCCTTCACCCAAGTCACTCCACCCTTTCTCCATTTTATGAGAGAAACTATTTATAGAAATAAAAATGGTTTGGATCCTGCATGACATGCACAATCCATTCTTGGATAAGACGACAGAAAGGAACCAGTCCTGCCTTTTTTTTTTTTTTTTGAGACTGTCTCATCTTGCAGGCTAAGCTGGCCCAAACTGGTCTCAAACTCACAGTCTTCATATCTCGTTTCAACTTCCTGAATCCTGGGATTACAGCTATGAATCTCCACACCTAGCTCCAATCTTGCAAAAATGTAGGAGAATCCATAGCCCTTATTGTGGCCTTTTCTTAGGGAAATTTCCAACACAATGAGGCATTTTTTTTTTTTTGCCAGTCCTGGGGCTTTAACTCAGGGCCTAGGCACTGTCCCTGAACTTCTTTTGTTCAAAGCTAACACTCTACCACTTAAGCCACAGAGCCACTTCAGCTTTTTCTGCTTATGTGGTACTGAGGAATTGAACCCAGGGCTTCATGCATGCAAGGCAAGCACTCTATCACCAAGCCACACTCCCAGCTCCACAATGAGGCTTTAAACTTCCTTGATATATAAGACATCCATACATAAGAGCATTTCTTGTCTTCTAGAAGTGATCCAGAGTTCAACAAGGCAGTAATTTCCCCAGCCCAAAGTCCCCCCACTTCTAGCTTCTTCAGTCATGTCAGCATTTTGCAAAAAGGGTTAAGAGACTTGGGCATAAACCTATGCATCCCAGGAATTACAGCCTGGTTCTAGCTCTCATCCCTCCCACACCAGTGGAAACCTCAGAACTGGCCATACTCTCCATCGCTTTGCCATCCAGCCTCCTCGCTGTTCTTACCAGGAACCCTGATGATGCCATCGCCTGGAGGGACACTGTCCCAAGGCTCCTCATCTCAACAGGTCAGTTCCCAGCCCTGGGTACAGTTCACAGGACCCTTCCTCAGAAGCCCTGACTTTCTCTCCAGCCCCATGTCCCATTCACCCCGCCCCTCACCAAAATGACTCCCAACCTCACTCTACTGTCTCCTCACATAGCTTTTTCCTGTGTATCTTTTTCCCTCCTAACACTCCCCCCTTTGATGAAAAAAATGCCCCTCCTTCAAGCTCTCAGAGTGTACTTGCCCCACAACCAGAAACTTCTACAGGCAAGGACTGAGTCTGATCAGTTCCCCTTGTGTTCCGCAGCCCCTGCACAGGCCTGACACATTTCTGACACATTTTGGAAATGCAGCGTAAACTGGTGGGCTGCACAGAGAACCAGAGGAATGCTTAGTTACTGCTGCTGCTGTGCATTACTTTTGGATCATTTTAAGCCTATCTCTGAGCTTGCCTCCATTTTAGTCTCCAATTAAATGAGATCACTAAAATTAGAAAGTGTCCTATAACTCAGAATCTGCTCTAATCCCAGGAAGCGTCCCCAAGACCACACAACTTGAAAGAGAAGGGTTTAGAAATTCAGGTCAACTGATTTCAATGCCTATTTCATGAAGACATTAGGCTTCATTGCCTTTAAGCTTGAAAAAATCTGTAGTCTAAATGCTAAAATCTTTTCTACAAATTTTGTTGTTTTTTATGGAAATTTCCAATTATGAGATCAGTAAATACCCGACTTCTGTATTTCTAGGCTGTAATTATTTAAACAAAAGAGTAATGTGGTTTCCTTCTCTTAAAAGGTTTCTTTCCTTCACTTTTGGCCCTGCTATGATCACTAATTCACCTGTCCTTTCCTTTCTGAGTCTTTTTCACTTTCAGTTTTCTTGGCCTCTATCGTGAGATGGTGGGCTTTTTATATTGTAATTTTATGATTCTATAATTTATTTATCATGCATTATTATGCCTCTAAACAATATGAGTGCCTTTGCAAGTGGGGGCACTTTATAAATAAATGATCATATTTATTGTTATTAATAAAAGAAGCAGCCCGCAATGCTCCAGGAGCCCCAACCTCCTCTGTAAATTTGTGAATCAAGCAGCAGATCCTACCCGGCTCACCACTGCTGCCAATTCTCGCATCTCACTGTTCATGCCAATAAATGCACTCAGAGGTTTCAGCAAGCGTTCCTAGGGAGAGGAACAGAGAGGCTCACATGACAAGATTATAGCTTCATAATTTAGGAAGAAACAAATGATAAAAGATAGCTATGAACTTAGATTTGACCTCTAGGTTTTGCTGTACTCAAAATGAGACTTCTGAAGTTTATCTGGCTTCAGGCAGTTTGGAGGATGAGCTGTACTATGAGCCACTTACAGAGGAGTCTGGGTTACAGTCCAAAGTGTTCAAGTTAAGTTCACTGGTTGCTCCTTTGATAGCATCTGTGAGCAGCCCTCGGAAGTCAGTGATTTGGCCCTGAAAGGGAGTAATGATTATTTAAGCTATTAATACATGTGAGAAGACTGTTCTTAGTAGTTTGACCTCATTAAATCAAGCCACATTTAAATATCTTCATATATAGGACACACTTCAAGCTAAGCTTTAAAAAGAATCTGAACTAATATTGAACAAGGTGATGTCGTCAAGTTAAGACACTAAATAAAATCCTAAGTAATTGCTTAGGATGGATTTAGTTTGAATAAAAGTATATGCACATTTTTCAGTTTTTGTGCTTCCCTATATACTACTTTCCCTGGCTGGTTTCATCCCTTTAAAACACTACATGAACAGGAGGAACTGGATTCTGAAGTCGACATAGGCTCTGGTGACTGACTATACATGAGTCACTGCTCAGTAGAGTGCCAGAAAGAAAATAAGGGTACAAGGAATGCTGATTTCACAACCTCTGTGTGTGTAGAGCAGATATGGTAGTTCCATGTCTGTGAAAATAAGGCCAGAACAACCAGTGGTTTAATAACAAGTGTTTCAAGACAGGAGTCAAATCCAGATACTTAGTTCCCAAATCTATATCCTTCCAACACCTCTTTGTCTCCCCTAAATGCAGGAAGGAAAAGGCAAGGAGGCAAAACCATTTACAATAATAGTACTCAACACCTGTCAAGTGTCTGGTACATGGTAAGCCATGTCTTAACAAGATCTTTTAAAGTGGGTGCTGGGATTATGTCCATTTGACAGATGAGAGGAGAGAGACTTAGAGAGCTGACAAAGTTCCCAAAGTTACACAGCAGGGAAGTATCTGTACCAGAATGTAAACCAAGGCAGGCTGACTCCCGACTCCATATAAAACAACATACATATAGGATTTACAGGAAAGAACTGAAAATCCCAAAGCTAGGGTTCCTAATATGGCAATGAAAGACTCATTTTGGGAATCAGCCTCTGACAGCTCCTCATTAGTTCTGCCCTTGTACTGTTACTCTTTGAAATTCTAGGGGGGAATTCATCTACATTTTACCTTAAGGCCATTTCTTCTGGAAAGAGAAATTATAAGACCACTTCAAAGATTAGTTCTAAATTAAATAGTCCCAACCTAGTGAGTCAATCCATAATGTGAAGTTGTATCAGTATGAGGCATTCACAAATGAAACCGAAGTTGAGCACCTGTGGCTCACATCTGTAATCTTAACTACTCAGGAGTTTGAGATCTGAGGATCGTAGTTCAAAGCCAGCTAGGGCAGGAAAGTCTGTGAGACTCTTATCTCCAATTAACCACCAGAAAACTGGAAGTGGTTCTGTGACTCAAAGCAGTAGAGCGCTAACCTTTAACAAAAGAGCTCAGGGACAACACCAGGCCCCAAGTTTAAGTCCTACATTTAACAACACCAAAAAAGAAAAAGAAAGAAAGAAAGAAAAGAAAAGAAACTGAAGTAACAAAACTACTATGCAGAAAGGTAATGGGAACCATGGCAAAAGTTTTGAAGGCTAACAAGGAACCATTTCTTCATGGGACACACATGTCACCAGGTACCAGTTCACTAAGCCCCTAACCAGTGGTGCAGGCCAGTCAGGTAGTTCCCTATAGTTTCCAGAGAGATGCTCCAGGCACTCTTCCAAACACATAGACACAGAGTGCTTTTCCTGAAGAACAGAGCTAAGGCCACAGTTTGAAAACATAATTTCAGAAAAGAGAAGACTATTAAAGAAAGACATGCCTGAAAAGGAATGTGGTGCTTTTCATTTCCAAAGGACACTATATCCACTCCACCTAGGCTTGTTCTCTTTGAAAAACTACAAATCCAGTCATAAAGTTCATTATGAAAAAGGTAGAAATACCTACCAAAGTCAGGATTCGTACTATGTCAACTGAGGGGGTTTTTTCATGGCTCACATGAAATTACACTTCAGTCTGGATCGATGCCTTCAAGAAGGGTGACAGCACCAATCAACTACCCTTGACAGGACCGAAAAACTGAGCATGGACCACAACTCATTGAATAAAGCAAGATACCAATGTTTATTATGTGAAATCACAGAATTTGTTCTAGTCCTAGGTAGGTGCTACCACTAAGATATATCCCTAGCCAACCATAGATTTTTTTTTTAACCTAAAAGAAATCAGAGCTATCTCTTTCAAACACTTTAATTGACAACAAGAGGCATGAGTTCCCTGGAGATGGTTGTGTCACTCCAGACTGTTTTTTTCCCAGAAAGATCACAGATCAGAATTCCTTTCTGCTCCTTATTCAATGTTCCTGTTACTATACCAGACAGCTAATTTTTGTTATATTTTAACTTCCCTGTTTAACAAAAGTAACTTATCTTTAAATTTTTTCATTTAAAAAAAAAACAACAGAATTTCCTCTTTCCATATTATGATTCTGGGTTCCACTTACTCTTCGTGGGTGGGCATTTTCCTCTCCACTACCAGTATGGATTCTTGAGATGTTTAAGCCAAAGTCCGCATTCTCTATGTGAGTATTGCCGACCTCCTGGACAAAGGATAGAAAGAAGTCGACTGAGAAGCAAAGGAGAGATGTCTTCTTTAACTTGGCCCAGATACAAACTAAAACGGTGAGTCCCAATTCTGCAAATGAGGAACCCATGTGTGAACTGGCCACTTTTGTTAAGACCCAACAACTTGAACTAACAATCTCTCTGTGTCAGGAGGAAGAAACTGCCCCTGAAAGGCTGAAAAGACCCAAGGCCACAGTCTCTGTGGCCTTTGCAGTGGAGGAATTAGCTGGGTTCAGCACATCCTACACTAGCTTACCTTTTCTACTCAGGCCATGGTTGTTTGTGGCTAAAGCTGGGAAGATCTGGAAATGTAACAATCAGCCAGCCAGGATTTTCCTGCTTTACTTCATCATTTTCACACCAAAATCAGACCCAATGGCCACAATCACAAACTCTCCTCAATGGTGAGTTCTTTTTGGCCAACTGAATTTCAGGATTCTCCCTATCTCACCAGCAATGTTTGACATTAGTTCTTTCTTTTCATTTTTGTCTCCATTTCTGGTGGGGTTTCTTCCTCACAATATGGGATGCTTTGTTCTAGATTTTTTTTAAAGATTCTATACAGCTAGTGGTCTCCATCCCCTTGCTGCTCTCTCCTCCTCTGGACGCTCTAGTGTGGAGATGTTGAGCAAGGATCACAAAAACACAGAAGACCCTGAAGCCCAGGCATACCTCAGACTGGCCCTAAGCTATGCTGAGCAACTCAGGAAACATGACACCTGAAGTAACCTCAGCGGGGAGTACTGAACTCTGCAGTAGCAGGCCATGCCTTCTGAGGACATTACCCCACTGGGAAAGGTTGGGAAATGTAGTGATTTCTCCAGCAAATTCAAAATTTTCTACAGCTTTCAGAGAATTCTACAATTCAATTAAATAGACAATTTAAAAAAAAGAGAACGTCAACAGATAAATATTACCTTTTTCTTGGGTCTATTTCTCAGCCAAGTGTTATCGCCAACATTAAGCAAAGTCATTCTGACCTGTTCAGGATTCTCCTTATTCAGGGATTTGGAGTCCCCTGTCTTCCCTGTGGTAGTTTTGGATCTTGGCCTCTGCTGATTGATCTTGGGGAGATTTTGACAAGTGTCACTCATTACCCTATGGAGTAGAAGAACATGTTTGGAGGTCATTATTCTAACCACTTAGGTTGAGGTAAACAAACAACTACTATAGCACAGTTAAAGAAATACCTTGAAAGATGAGTAGAGGAGCTACAGTAAAACCCTTCCATCTGTGCCATCTTCCTATCTTGTCCATTCTATCTTTGACTACACATTGGGTTCCTCCAAAACTGGGCTAGTGGGCCCATCTCCCTCCCCCTACAAGTCTCAATCCTCCCTCTTTATTTCTTCTTTATTCCGTATAGCTTCAGCCCTTTGGCAGATGGCTTTAGTTCTAAAGAACACATCGCTTTATAAGGATTTTTCCACAGCTACTTCCTCAAGCGCATCAGACTAGGAAAAGAGGGAAGGGGGAGCCTTCATATTGTGAAGTACTAGATACTTTAGGGATTTGTATTTGGCTAATTCAACATCGTGGATATCACTCCTTGCCTACATAAAATATCTCTTGGAATTCTGTCTGCAGGAAACATCAGAAGGGGCTTGTGTGAGGGAAGCAACACTCACCCCATGTCTGTGGCTACAGATAACTCATATTTGAAAAATACTGTCCACTTAAGGCAAAACAAGGTGATGGAACTGTAAGTCAGAATAGTGGCTTCGTTGGTGAAGATAAGGGAGCATGATGGTGGACTATACCTGGGGTGGTTATAAGAGCACATATGTTTGACTACATATGAGTTATAAGAGGGAAATGTTTCATATGATATCTCTACCTCACAACTTCAATTTCTTATTGGGTATAAAAGACTCATGATGTTTGCTTTAATATGAAAAGACAACAATGCTAACAATTGTAAAATTTGTCTGGAAATGGAACTAAATTTCCTCTGCTTTAACTTTAGCCACCATTCTTGATATGTGCTCTGGGAAATTCTTTAGAGAGGGCACAATACTCCATAAGCGTGTGAAGATGGCTTCCACATTGGTCTAAGGACCGCCTCTGTTCAAGCTAAACATTCAGCCAATCCTAAAATGAACTTGCTTCCAGATTTCTTCTCATCATCATCACCTTCCTTTTGTCCACTGTCTTCAGACCATAATGAAATGAACTTCTGCTTTTTGTGCAAAGTTTTTGCAATGAGGAATCTTGAGACCACATTAGCAACGACACCCCACTTGAATGCTGTTGGCTCAGGGGCAGTTGCCACCAGTTAACGTGGATTTCTCTATCTCTAATTCTGTAATGGGGACTTACTTGCTGAGAATTTTTTGTTAGAGTCTAAACTTTATTCCTTTTAATTCCATCTTGTTGCCTAGGGTTCATCCTTCAAATCATCAAGACCTTTCAGGTCTCTGCTTCTGTTATCCATCAGATTAGATCATTCTTCTCCCCTCAGTCATCAGCAAGGGCAAAATTTGAAAAAGACATTTGATTCTGCTACTAGCCAGTCTCAAGACACAACCTCTCATTCAGCAACTATCTTTAAGGATAAAATGGTACACTGAAATATCATTCATTGCTTTCTGGATAATCCTTCTTGACTAAACATTTCCTGTCCAATCTTTATGCTGGCCATGTAAAAGTACCTACTCAGAAAGGAGCTAAGAAATCCTTGAATGGTCACACATGCCACCATACTCTCTCCCTAAAGGAAATTAGCCTCCAACCACATCACACTCACTCAAAGAATATTTGCAAGGCAAAAATACCAAGTTTCAGGCATAGACATGTGCCTGGAAAATCATCAGAATCTTGGTGCATTCCACAGCTGGTCTCTTAAAATGTTCTTCACTTTTCCTATTCACAAGTCATTTTCATTTATTGCCAGTCTGTCTAGTTTTATGAAAACTATAAATAAAGGAATAACACTTTCATCAAAACAATCAAAATCTTCTAAAGAACAGAGGAAAGCAATGGTAGCTGTAGGCTGAGGACAATACAAGCATCATGCTGGCGCTGTGTAGGCTTCACACACATTGTATGAAAAATGCCAAATAGACCTGTGAGGCACCCTGGCTCCTTTCTGTTCATACTGTAGACAGTGAATTTGATTCACCAGCACAGGTAACTTAGTGGGGCAGATGAACACCTCTTGAGGCTTGATAAGTTGTCTGTTATCTAAATCTTACGTTTTCTTTTCTCAATCATATTCTAAGATCTTCAAAAATCTTAGAATACCTGAAAGTTATGTAACCTCTATGGAAAACCCCTTTTAGCTGCTTCGAAGGCTTAGGCCTTATTATAATAGAAAAGCTCCCCAAGGCCTGCTGCTCCAAGCCCGCAGCACCCTGAACAGCAGCTCTCTGCTCTCTGGAACTCATGAATATATCTGAACAGGACAGCATGGGCATGACGTTGTGAGAGGGATGTGTTGGGAGTGAGGAGGAATAGGAAGAAAACTGAAGCTGAAGTGGGGGGATCTTCAGCAGAAAATGGTTAAGAAAAGAAAGGGCTCCCAGGGCTGGGGAGGTGGCTCAGTGGTAGAGTGCTTGCCTTGCATGCCTGAGGCCCTGGGTTTGATTCCCCAGCACCACATAAGCAAAAAGAAAAAAGCCAGAAGTGGTGCTGTGGCTCAAGTGGTAGAGTGCTAGCCTTGAGCTGAAGAGCTGAGGGACAGC